TTATACTGAGTACAATATTGTATAACTGTAATAATTCAACTGTAAACCTAGAAATGTACAGCCAATTTTGAAAGAGATGTACCCTAGCTCAGAAAAATGTTATTGAATAGGTTAATGCTCTTGTAATGAAATGCTTCTTTTAACTAAAAAAAAATAAATTAAAAAAAATGCAAAAAAAAAAATTAGCTTACTATCAGTGTATGGATGAGTACACTCTAATATTTAGAATTGAGAATAAGAAATGGTAATTTGTAAAGAAAAGGGGCATAGCTTTTGTCTTTTGTCTTTTTTTTTCATGGTGACTGTGTGAATTCAATTTTCTGTGTATTGAAGTAGCAGGAACCGTTTCTGTTTTCCATAAGAGTTCAGTAAGTGTTGGCCTTTTGGAGCAGTTATTGTGAGAGTTAGGATTCCTTTTTTATTCCATTGACCATTAGTGCCATGGGAATTGGACAGTGAATAATGCATGTTTTGGATTAACTCACTTGGAAAAAGTGATTTTTGTTGTTGTTGTTAATACTTGCTGCAGTTCTGTGTTCTGCACTTGGATGCTTTTTATAAGAGTTGTCATTGTTAGAAATTCTTAAATAAAACTGTTTTAAATTAAAAAAAAAATAAATAAATGTAACATTTTAAATGAAAAAAAAAAACTGTAATCTAAAATGAGAGAAAAGAAACAAATGAGAGTTTAGGTAAACTATCTAACCACCTGGATGTGATGGCACATGCCTTTAGTCCTATCACATGTAAAGAAAAAAAGTAAGAGAATCATGGGCTCAAGACCAAACTTACCTATTGTAATTTTAAGTACAGCCTGAGTTACACAAGATCCCCTTTGAAAAAATCAAAGAGAAAATGTCTAAGGTCTATATGGGGATTGAATTTTTTGGCAAATCTAATTCAGAAAAAAAAAATCAAGATAGTTTGGCATGGCTGATCTTCCCCCAAAACTAGAAAAATCAATTGTCTAACCCACAAAGCCAGCTTTAATCTGGACTGGTTTCAAATAACTGTTCATGGGAAGAGTTCAACATAACCAATATCTTGATGAACTGTCTTCTTGCTGACCTCCCTTGCTCAGTATGCATTCACTGACCTGGGAGGCTTTGGACTGAGTCTTCTGCTACACTCCATGGCCCAAATCCATGCTCCAACTTGAAGATCAACTCAGGTTTGGTCATGCAGTGCCCTATAAGATGGAAGTAATGATGAAAAATTTATTCCAGAATGCTAAGTCAAGTCCACTGAAGAAAGATAATTCCAATTAGGGAACTGTTTTTCAAGCAGTGAATTAGAAATTTCCATTAGAGAGGGTTTACACTCACATTTTTCACTGATGGAAGTATTACCTTCAAGTGCCATAACGTACATAATACATACCCAAATAAATGATTTTAAGAAAATTTAAGTAAGGAAAAGTAAATAAGAGAAAAAAACATTAAAAAATTAGAAAGTCATATGATACTTAGGACAAATTGAAGAGAGAGCAGTCATGACCAGCCAAAAAATTTTACACTGGAAGACCTCAAATAATGAAATAAGAAACAAACAAACAAAAACTTGACTATCACCATTGCTCCTGGTTACCCACCAGAACATGGTGGTAAGACACTATTGCTTAAGACACTACATACATAAGTCATAGAAGAAACAAGGAGAAATCAAGTTGATACTGACCTCAAAGCTTCATCCCTGCATAGTGCTGGAAGTGCTATTCATGCTACTAATGACATGTTATAATACATTGATGCATCTCTCACTCTTGCCAAAGAACCTTCTTATTGCAGCAGATAGCAGTTAACAGAGAGACCCACAACTGGTCAACATGAAGAGAATAAGAGGCTGCAGAGTACTTAGTCCTAAATGGGACACCTATATCACCTCCTCTCCTCTTGAGGTTTGGGGATCACTGTGGAAGAGGGTGGTGGAAAAACTGTAAGAGACAGAGGTGGTAGATGACTATAAGAAAACACTGTTTTCTAACACAGCAAGGCAGTTGCACATATGTGTTAGAGTCCAGGTCTGCAGGCAACCCTCCCCCAGTGCAGTAAATCCTCATAATACAGGCCCTGGGGGCTTCTTAAAAACAGGAATTGAGTCAGAAGTTACTGTTCCAGCCATGAGGAGACAGTTTCAACATAGTCTGTTTCCCAAAAGAAGTTTAGAAGATAAACAGGCCCCTGCACCCATGACTCAACTGCTGGAAGAGCTGTCTTAGCACAAGCTTCATCCCCCTGATAAGTTTCACAATGTATAGACCCCACTCCCCACAGAAACTACTTTAAAAATTTTTTTTCCTTCCTTCTGCATTCCATACCCCGATAAAAAACCTCCAGCCAGTAGCCTGAAAACTGATGGTCTTTCCTTGAGGGCCACCCCAGGTGACTTCCCAAATAAATCTTGCTTTTGTTGGAATCCTTCTGAGTGGTGATTTTTCCTGGTTTGCCTATCATATGGTGCCGAAACCCAGGACACCACCATTGGAAGGTCACCAGTGAAGGACTCCACTGGACCTGGCCGCTGATACTGCCCTCCGCCCCCCCCCACAACACTGATTCAGCTTTGAGGTACACTCTCTTCCTCTCCTTCTCTCTCTCTCTCCCTATCTAGATCCCTTTCGTCCTTTCTCTGGCTCTCTCTCACCTCTCATCCCCCTCCCCTGCTCTTTCTCCTTTTTCCTTTTGGTTTGAATTGGGGCCACTCCCAGACCCAATGAATGACCACTGTGTGACACGGGTTTCTGCAACCGTTGAACATCTGGCACAGTTACTGTGTCCACCTAAGCCCACCTGGTAGGAAGACCTCCCCACCCATCGCTTTCAAGTCCTTTCTCTTAGGGCCTCTAGGTCCTGGTGATTGGTCCTCGCAAGGAGCACAGATCCCCAACCTGCTAAAGAGTTTCCCGGCTGCCAAACACGACTTGGAGTCCTAGGGACCCTAGCAGCCCACTACCCACACAGGGGGTGCGGATTTCTTGTCTTGAGGTCTTAATGTATCTCTGTGTAAACCTTTGGACTTGGTCTACATGGATCAGAGTCTCTCTCTGTTCTACCTACACCTCTGGACTTCCAGAAGGAGGCCAACCCCACGAAGGCATGGGCTTGACCTGAGGGACTCCAAAGAAATGGTCCTAAGGCCAGGTAAAATGGGGAAGGCCAACTCTAGAAGTTTCCACTCTCCTCCTTTTGCTCCCACAGCCTCTCACTAGAATTAGTTTCTCCCTCTCTCTCTTCACCTCCCACACCTCTCCTCTAATTTCATTTTCTCACACTCAGCAATTCAGAGCTTCTCTTTTCTAGTCCCTTCCTCCTCACTCCCACTCTCCCAAGTTTCTCTTGCTTCTCTTCCTACCGGGTCTTAGACTCTCCTCTCACCTTCAACGCTTCACATTCAATCTCCTATTCCACTGCCTGGCTGTGCCACACTCTCACTCCCGGGCTTTCTGCTTGAGTCGTAAAATCACACCAGTGCGTCAGAAAGCTCATTCCTTCTCTGGTTACAAGACACCATTTCCAGAGACAGGAACATGCTCACCTTCCTGTCCAAGACAAGAACTCATTCTTTCCCCTCCCTGGTGATCGCAGAACACTGCCTCCAGGAATGAGAAACACATTTTGGGCCTTTGTTGTAAGGGACACCTTTCTTGTTGGTGCCACACACTCTCGCTTGACATGACCCGTGGCTCATGTCCCTTCTTCTCCTCCTTCCTCCCACCTTCCTTTTTCTCATATTCTGCACCTTCCTGCCTGGAATCTTAGCTGCCATCCATAACTCCATTCCTGGTGGAGAGAGGGTCCTCATTATCTCCTTCTACATACATGCTCAATTCCTTTTCTATCTCCTGTGTGCTATATGCATAATCTGTCACTTTGGGAACCACTCAGTCTAAACCTGAGGGTCTCACACCTCTTGCTTGTCTTCTCAAGTCCCTAAAGCAACTAGGACTTTCAGATACAATTAGACCAAAGTGCCTAAAGTTTTTGTGTACTACTGCCTGGCCCCAGTATAAGTTGGACAACGACTCCATTTGGCCAGACACAGGAACCCTAGACTTCAACATTTTAAGAGACTTAGATAATTTCTGCCAATGTAGTGGCAAAAGGTCTGAGCTCCCTTTTTTGATCTTTGTGCTAACCCCTCCCCTTGTGCCTCCTGTTCCTCTCATCAAGCTCTCCTTGCCAAGACTCTTCCCTCAGAGCCCTCTGCTCCCCCTCCATACTCCTCCACCTCAGCCTTTGACCCCAACATAGTGGATGATTGTTCCCCGATTAGGACCCAAACTCGACCTCCTCCTTCCACTCAACCTGAGGCACAGCTGGCTCCTTCACAAGCTCAGCCTTCACTATATGCTCCCCTCCCCCTTCCTCCATCCCCTGAGCCAAACCCAGTCAACCACCTCCTCTACTTCAAATCCCCTCCTCATGGCCTTCCTCTTCTCCCCCTCATCACCACCTCAGTCTCTTGCTCTTGCACCCAAATTTACCCTTGAGGAAATTCAGGGTCTTAAACAAATTCTCACCAATCACCCCTCACCATCTCCTATTCTAACCCCTACCTACAAAAATCCGTTTATTTCTCCCCATAACCGCCTCTACTCCCATTCCAGCCAAGGCCCCTATCTCTTGTACACCTATGTCCCCTTGTGGACAAGACACTCCTCCCCATTCCTCCACTTCGACTTCTGCACACTTCTCCTCCTCCACCAGACCCCACTGTCCCCAGTGTCTTGTCATCCCATGCCCAGTCCCAGCCCCCTCCCACATGGTGTCTTCCCCCTTAGGGAAGTTGCAGGAGTAGAAGGAGGTGTCAAGGTTCACATCCCATTTTCCCTTGGTGACCTGTCCAGCTCGAACGCAGAATAGGCTCTTTCTCCACTGACCCCACACACTTCTTACAAGAATTCAAATATATCGCCTGTAGCTATGACCTGACCTGGCATGACATCTTTATGATTTTCCAGTCCACCCTCACCCCTAATGAAAAGACACACAGTCTAGACAGCAGCACAAGAGTACGCTAATGAACTTCATTCAACCAACCAGACACATCCCATTTAGAGCTGAGGCAGTTCCCTTACAAAACCCTGGGTGGAATTACCAACTCCTACTGGGGCACCAGGAAGGACCTTCCCCAGGTAGGGCAGCAAGGGATCACATGATCACTTGCCTCCTAACAGGCCTTCAGAGACCTTCACCTCCTAAGGTAGCTAACTTTGAAAAGCTTAGGTTGATTACCCAGGGCTCTACTGAAACACCAGCTCAGTTTACAGACAGACTTACTGATGCCCTAGTCCAGTACCAAGCATGATCCAGAGTCCAGAGAGGGATGACTTATGCTCAACCACCATTTTATCTTGAAATCGGCTCTAGACATTTGAAGGAAAATTTTACACCTAAACAAGGGCCCCAAAAGCCCCACAGGATATCCATTAGACCTGGCATTCAAGGTTTTTAATAACTGGGAGGAACAGGAGAGGCCAGACAAACAAAAGTACCAGCTGATGGCGGCAATCCTGAGGGCTCCTCCAAAGAAGACGATGGACACCAGTGGAGCCCAAAGACTGCTGCCCAAGACCCTGATTCAAATGTGGACTCACTGGACACTGGGCAAGGCAATGCCCCAACCTGCAGCTGCCTCCTGGATCCTGCCCTCAGTGTGGACAATGAGGTCCCCGGAGGGCTGACTGTCCTTCTTTGCAGCACCAAGGTAGGCCACTCACCGCCCAGACCCACCTGCTTTACAGGGTTCAGTGAACAACCTCCTGGGCCTGGTGGCTAAAGACTGATGAGGCCCTAGCTCCTCAGCCCCCACCTCTTCGATGACCATCACCATGGAGGAGCTCAGGGTAGCGACTGTGATGGTGGGTAAGACTATTAATTTTGTTATGCACATGGACACTTCATGGTCTGTTCTCCCCTCCTACTCTGGTAGAGTTTTTCCTTGCAGATCTCCATGATGGGGATGATGGGAAGCCCCATAACCCCAAAACAACAGGATCCCTGTCCTGTATATTCTGGCTTGTGAGAGTGTGGGACATGGGAGCAAATGACGTCAGTCTAAGCCCTTCAGAAGCTTCACAGCTGAGTTACATAACCACCCATCTGTCCTGCAATATAGGCTGTTCGACCTAGGCCAATGCAGAGGGGAGCAGTCCTTAATGAGGTGGCTGGTTGAAGGCATTAAAGATAC